CAATCAAGCAGTCCAAGCAAGCCTTCCATATCAGTCTGGGCAATGAGATGGCGGACGCCTTGGCACAGCGTGGAGCAGAGGAGTCCATGGAATATATACGCGATGAAGTCAAGCATCTCATGGAGGTGGAGACCCTATTGATGCGTGCCCAGGGACGCGGAGCAGCCATCATCCACGAGATCTGCAAGGACGCCGACCCGACCAAGTTGGACAGACCGAAACAGTTTCCTCGTAAGACAGCCCAAGTGCGACGAGAGCAACGTCGTCAACTAGAAGAGTTGTCTGGCCACAGCATGAAGAAAACGAAAGGGCAATGGGTATGCCAAGAGTGTTGGTGTTCGCCTGGTAAGTACAGCTTGGTCGGCTGGATGAAACCGAATGTTTGCATTGGAAGGCAGTATGAGACCCATCGAGCAGACCACGGAAATGCAGCACATGTACCCACAAATGGGATGAACGAGATCAAGGATAAGGTGATCCACCCGAGCCACTCGATATCAGTTGTTCATGGGCAGTTCTGGTGCTGGAATTTTGCAGCTGTGGCCTCACACAATGACGACGGACATGGGCGAGCAGCCCTACTGGCGAACAAGTGTAGAGAGCAGATCACTACGAGTGGCCCGACTGTTCTACGCCGACTACGCCAAAGGGCTACCGCCCAAAGCGGGCCAGAACTGGCCAGACGGCACAGTGCCGCCGAACGGTGGCAAAATTCCACGAGTTGCTGCAGGGCGACGCCTACGTGGATGACTACACGGCTCGGGGCTTCGGCCCCGCAGATTTATTCTGCCCTGGAGTGGCAGTGAGGTGGAGACCCGCCCTGACTCTGGGCTGGCTCGCGACCTCTGCTCGGGGCTGCTGCCCCGCAGAGATAGTCTGCCCTGGAAGTGGCAGGGAGGTGGAGGCCCGCCCTGATCTGGGGCTGGCTCGCGACCTCATGAGAGCCTGCGCGGCCAGCGCGGGCGCAGGGGCCGCGGCGGCGGAGTCGACCGCGGTGCCCTCTGCTCTCGAGTCCTCGAGTCCCTCCTCCTCATCCTCCTCCTCCTCATCATCATCATCCTCCTCCTTCTTCGGAACTGGGGCACGTACATTACCAGTGGCGGGCTGTTTTTCAATCCTAGGACTTTTGGATGTCGGGGACGACGGCGGGGTGGTGTGGTGTATACTTGTTCTCCGTTTCCTTGGGAATCGGCGAAACATGTAGTTGCACACCAGGATCCCGTATAGACCAGGAGTAGCTTTTCTTGTGCGAGTTCCGGTGCGGGGCTGGGAAAAGCTTCGGTGTATAGAGTTCGGTTTCTCACCTTTCGGGGATGTTGGAGGCGCGACGCCAAGTTGTTTGACTTTCTTCGGCCTCGAAGAAGCCGACTAGCGAGGAGGGGGGGAAGTGAGAAGGAGAAGGCCTTCTCGGAGGGCTTGGAAGTCCCCCGGCCTTCGGAGAAGTTTCCTGGGCCTTCCCCGAAGACGCGGGAAATTTCTCAGAAGGCGCGAGGGTTTCTGAGAAGTCCCGCTGCCTTTGAGAAGGCCTCCTCCTTCTCATTTCGTCCTCTCGCTCGCCACCGAGTTCGGCCTCGAGAACTAAGTCGGCTCTGCTCCAGCTACTTGACGGTCCAGGCATGGCTTTTGGCGGTCCAGTTGTTTCGCGAGATACTTGCAGCGGGAGGTCGCGCCAAGTTTCAGAGTGGGCCCCGTCATTTTCCTGACGACCCCGTCATGCAAGCTCGAGTCTCTCAAGCTCCGTATCGTTTAACCGACCCCCCTCCCCATGCCCCATGGTCATCCCCTTCGAGACCCCCACCAAATTACCACCCCAGTTGGGGATACAGCCATCGAAACCCCAAGGGAACGGCCTATATCCCCAATTGGGGGGTCAATCGGCCAGTGGGGCCCAGGCCACGCCGCTGGGGATGGGGATGGGTTGAACGATGCACACCAAACTTTAGTTTTGCTTCTCCCCGATCCCTCCTGTTCCGCGCACGCCCACGCGAGAGGCAACGGTAAGGGGGCAGTTTCAGGGGATAACGCATCGGCCCCAATCGCCCATTTGTTGCCAAGAGGGGTTCGATAGCCCGCCCCTCCCAGTACAGCACAGCACAGTACATTACAGCAGCCGTGCATCTGAGTGGACACGTAGGCAAAGCAAACGAACAGCCAAACGCTGTGTAGAGTGGCGACAGGCGAGTGAGAGCACGGCCAAACGCCGCCGCCAAGTTGAAGATGATAGATGACGACGAGATTGGATCAAATCAGCCTTCACACCAGGTGGTAAACTGAATGCGCCCATTGTTGTCGTGGGCGGCCCCTGCGTCCCCGGAAAGCCAATTGTTTAGGCGTGCCGTCGGGGTTGCATACCACTTGTCTCAGTAGTGAAGTTGCGTCGTAGGAAACGATCTTCCGGTATAGCTCGATCTGCCGATCGTGCAGGATAGTCGACAACGTTTTCATACATGATTTCTCAAGAATTGTGGTGTTAGATACCCGTGATATGCACGAACATGTAATCTTCAATAATTTTCATGTTCTGAGACCATTGCATTGGAAAGCATCAATCTTTGCTCTGTCAGATTTCAATAGCCATAGAGAATCTAGTGAATATAAGAGCTTGCCGACGATACAAGCGGAAAATATCTGCACTTTCCCAGGAGCGTGGGAAATTGCTATCGGGGGGCTATCGCAGATCTATCGGCGATGTGTCGCCGATTCCTAGTCCATTGCCCCCCCTCCTGAGCCAGTGCCCTGGTGGTTTTCGGGCCCTAGCGCGGGCATCCGCCGGCCCTTCGGGACGAACCAGGCACACCTGGACACCCCTCGGCGAGGCGCAGCCGTTGGAGAGCATCCCGTGGCTGGAAAGCTGCCGGGAAGCAACGAAACCGTCTGAAAATCGCGTTACGTTGCCCCTCACCCCGATAGCAGAGGTCAAGCAGTGGCGATGCGTCGTAGACTTTGTGGTTTGCGCGAAATGTTCTTAGAACATGTTTGCACTGAGACCGTGCTGGTTGCATACAGTCGTGGATCTGACAAAGCAACCTCCTGAAAAGCTTGACCAGCGTTTCTTCACCAACTTGCCAGAAAGCTGGCCCAGTTTCTTGAGCGCGTGCGCCCGTCCAGCGTCAACCTCTGAAATCGGCCCAGGGTTGTGCAAAGACATGTCGGAAAGCTGGCCCGGAATTTCTTGCAAGAAAATTGTGTTGATCAGATTTTCGGCTGCACATCGACCCCGTGCTCACAGGACTCGGGCCGGACGAAAGGGGGGGATGGGGAAAGGGGGGGTTACGAAATTTGCTGCATGCAGCTGGAATTGGCCCCACCGAGGGGCCCATTCTCGGAACCTGGAACATATACATTACTAGTGGCGGGCTGTTTTTCAATCCCAGGACTTTTTTCGAAGGTTGGGGACGACTTCGAGGTGGTGTGGTGCATACTTGTTTCCCCGTCTTCCTGGGGGAAAACGAAGAATGTATACACCAGGATCCCGTATAGACCAGGATCCGCTTTCTTGTGCGAGATTCAGTGTGAGGCCAGACAAGGGCGTCGGTGTATAGAGTTCGGTTCCCTACATTCTTCGATACATGGCCGCCTCCGGCGCCGGGAGGCGCTGGGAAAATCAGCTACGTGAGCTGCTTTGCTATCCCCCCTTTCGCCTAGCCTGAAGGACATCGACTTGGTCATAGAATCCTCATTGGTTCTGACAGCATCTCGTGGCGCATGGGTCTCTGGGGATGCCTGGACGGTCGGCACCCTTGCTCAAGCTCGGGGCGATCGACATGAGCACGGGAAGGATAGGCATAAGTCGGGCCTGTCCCTCTACAGGGGGAATATTCCAAATCAGTCCAAAAATAGGGGACGATTTTTTGATGATTTGTTGACCATTATTGGGTATTGTTTTGACTATTTAAATTGTTGCAAAAACCGCCTGTAGGGGGACATGCCCGACCTAAGGATAGGCACAAAGACCGACAGCATGCTCTGTTCCTTTTGAAAGGTAAAACCAACTACACCACGGCAAATATCATCCCATTCACATTTTTGTTCTTCTTTGCGAAAGCCAGCATTCTTTTTTAGTCGAAAAATATTCAAACATTCGCCATAAACAAAAAAAACCTTAGATATTTGCACTCTGTGACGCCTGAACGCTCGCTGTTGGTGTCGCCACGCATGTTGTCCATTTGAGACATCTGTGGTCGCCTGCCCAGCAGCGGCCGGCGTGGGTTTGGGACAACACTTGTCATGGCGCCAACATCGCAGAGCGGATTTCGGTCGGAAAACTATGGAATGGGACCAGACTGTCCTGGAGAATTTCGTTCCGGATTTCGATGTGAATTTCGTGCGGGTTCTTCTTGGCCAGGAAAGAAGACTACAAAAAACCCAAGTGAAATTCACTCCGCTGCACTCGCCGTGGCGGGGTTCTGCACTGACAAGAAGCCACGCGAAAATCCGCTGCAGTGCGTCTGCAAGGTCGGTGCAGTGACACTTGCAGGGCCTCGGATCCCCTTCCTTCCCTTGGCCACGCTGGGGGGGCCTCTGGCTCGCGAAGCGCAGGAACTCGTTGTGCGGGCTCGCCGAGAAGACCTCCGAGGGGCCACTGCGCGCGGACCAGTCGCCGTCGCCGTCGTCGCCGTCGTCGCCGCCGTCGTCGTCGTCGTCGTCGTCGCCGTCGTCGTGACCTCCCCTTGGCCACGCTGCCCCGGGCCTCACCGGCTGCCCCTCCGCGCCCTGGCCCCCCGGGTCCACCCGGCCCTGGCCTCCCTGGCTGCCCCCAGAGCTCGCGCTTCAAGGAGGGGCAACAGACACAATCAATCGTCGATTGCCCAGAAAATATGGGAAGACGTGGGAAGTGGGGGGGAGGACGAAACCCCAGAAAGTTTGTCAAAGCATTGGGAATCCTGGGATTTGTGTGTGCATTTCCTTGTGTGTCCCTGGGCCCCCTCAATGCTTCCCTTTCGTGCCCGTGCCGGGCGTCCAGACCGATGGCGCGCCCCGAGAGCGACCCCGCGGCGCAG